CTTAAGTCAGTCTCGAGACAGAAAAGGGCAAATTCAGCCAGCCAGCCAGCCAGCCCCAATGGAGAGGAAGAGGCATGTCACATGATCACCAAGGAAGCCAGGAACAGAAGCTCAGAAACTTTTCCCCAGAGCAGACAGAAAGCCTTTCTGGTTGATGCCCTAATCAGACTCCTGAATTGTGAGAAAGTATATTTGCTTGTTAAAGCCACCCACCTGCAGTATTTCTGTTATAGCAGCACTAGATAACTAAAACATAATCTGGAAGAGGTTTTTACAGGCTCACTGTGGCTGCAGGGTTGAGCACAGACTGAGAGTGTGGGGCAGCGGGTGGCTAAGGGTGGCTGCAGAGACACCACTGAGGAAGCTGCTATAGTAGTGCAAGGAAGAGATGACAGTGGTGGGGCAGAGTAGCTGCAATGGAGGGATCAGAAGATGTTTTGAAGAAAGTCAACAAAATTTGCTGTAGGACTAGATCTGGAGTGTGATAAAGAGGAATAAATAAGCAGGTCAGTGTTAGGAAGCGTAAGGGCCTGCGGGATCCCTTTCAATGAGAAGAGCTGGCCACACAAACCTCATCCCTTCCCCTCCTTCCACAGCACTGAAGCACTTACCTTGATGAGCAGGTCCGAGCTTCCCTCCCAACCTCATGTTCCTGGCCCCACCTGCTTCAGGGTTACTGCTTCTTCCTGCTGCCTCTTCATAAAGCAGATGGAAGTTCAACCCAGCCCTAGGATCTCTCCTGACCACCCAGCTGCCCCTACCCCTAGAAACATCCACAGACACACACAAGGTCAAGTTCTCAGAGATGTTTCAGATCTGACCTAGGATTTTAATAGGTCTGGCTCTGAGACAGAAACACATCTCCTATCTAGAATTAAGGCTGCCCACCTGGCACATCCAAATACTATGATTAACTCTAATGGTAACAACTTCGTTTTTAGTTGCCACTAACACATGGTGACCCTCTACACAGTGGGATTGGACCATTGTGGTCCATGGGGTTTTCACTGGCTGATTTTCAGGAGTAGATAGCCAAGTGTTTCTTTAGTCTAGCTTAGTCTGGAAGCTCCACTGCACTCCATCTTCAGCATCTAGCAATATGCAAATCGGCAGTGACAGATGAATGGTAGTTGTGCAAATCTGGATCTCTCGTAGAGAAGGTGAGCACTCTACCATTGAATCACCACTACACCTAGTAATAACCTTACCATCTACATTTTATTCAGCACCTTCATACTTCACAGCCCTAATGCAAGTCAACTGTTTCAATCGAGAGATAGCAGTGCTGGAGGGAAAACAGGCAGTGCTAGAATGTTCCGTTTGAACACTGCACAGCTTTATGATGTGGCAGAAACTGTGTACGTACCCTCAAATTCAGGCATTCCTCACTATTAGACTGTGATAGTTGGAGCTGTGTGTCAACTTGGCTGGACCACAATCCTGGGTGGTTTAAGCAGTTGTGATGTGCTTATTCCCATGATGGGATCAGATGAATATGTTTTGAGCAGCCAATCTGGTGAAAGGGAGTTTCCCTAGGGTTGTGGCCTGCTTCCATTATACTTATGGACATCTGGAAAAAGAGACATTCTTCTGTGGATCGGGATTCTGTTGTGCTGCCTACAACTGTCCATGAGTGAACAATCCACCATTCGGCCTGGAGATCTTGGACTCATCATTCGTTGGAATCAACAGCCAGTACACTGCCTGCCAACCTTGAGCTCCTCAGCCCCTGCAGCTGCAAGAGTTGGGAAAAGCCTCCAGCTTGATGTGGAAAAGCCTCCAGCTTGAAGTTTGATCTAAGAACTTTGGACTTGCCAGCTTCTATAAGTGTGTGAGCCATTTTCCTAAGATAAATTTCTCTCTATATACAAATATATAAGTTTTACTGGTTTTGTTTCTCTAGAGAACCCAGTCTAACACACAGACTCACTCAGTTTGAACTCAGAAACCAATAAGTTCAGAACATTTTCCAGATACCCCAGTCTCACTGCCCTTCAAAACTCAGGAACAAAATAATGTAGGGCAAGGAGCAATACTTGTCTTCTATATGCGCTCTTACAAGTCCCAATGTCCTCTGTGGTTTGGTTGGAAACATGTGACTAATCTTGGCCAATGGACCATGCGTGGATTGACTTGAGTCATTCATGTTTTATTTTCCCCTTCTGTGGTGACCTAGAGGCCAGCCCTCAAGCTTAAGATGTCATAAGACCAAAACAGTCTGGATCTCTAAGTAGAAAGGGAGCTTTCCTAAAGACAGTCATCAAAGATCATATGAACAACCCTTGTGTTAATTTACCAAGACTTTAGTTGTTACTGCAGTAAGGCCTATCATAGCCTGACTAATACAAAGGGATTTCCAAGACTAATTTTGGCTGCATGTCGTTTTTGCCTCATCAGTGTCTTAGAACCTGACCACATATTCTATACACACATCACAGCTAAACTGCACAGCAATCCCAAGCAGCAGATATGATTAGCCTCATTTTTCTGTCCAGGCAACTAAGGCACAGAGGCTAAGTAACTTGCTCAAGGTCACAGAGCTGTCAATGACAAGGGCTGGACTTAAGTACAGGTCTGACCCCAGAGCCTAGGTTCTGTCCACCTGCCATGCTGACTCCCCACTAAATCCCACCCCAATTCTTGACCTCCAGACTCCTTGTTTCTGATGGCAGCTCCCACCATAGATGCCATGTTGACCAAAGGGGAGGAGTATAAGCAGCCAAGAGGTTGCCCCATCCTGACTTTACTGGAGTGATGGCTAAAAGACTTTGCTAACACTCCAAAGAAAGTGGAACAGTCATTTAGAAAGAAAATATATCTTTACTGCAAATTTTTTTGCAAATGTTCACGTTTCCAGTGTAAGTCATTACAAAAAGATATCCAAGAAAAACTTGGTTTATCTAACGTGAATGAATGGTGTAATTTACAAAAAAAAAAAAATAATAATAAATATATATATTTCCCCTACAAGAAGAAAGATGCTTCTCTGGGTTTGAAGTCACAACATAATTCACAACAAGTATGAATCTTAGGGCAGCCGTGACCTCTCTGCTTTTTTTTGGTCTCACTTTGGCTGCCAACCAGGAGACCCGAGGGGCAGGCTTTGAAGGACTCTGCTTCCCTGTTTTCTTCCAGGAACACAGTCCAACTGTCAAATGCAGGGCCAGCTTGGCTATTCCCTAGGATTGCTGCTCTGCCCAACACATCCTCTCAAGAAAGCAAAAGTCTTGAGACTGTTTTTTTTTTTTGTCCCCTGGAGTAGTACTTAAATATATACATACCATCATTGATACTCATGAGTGGGATCCTTCCTTGTCCTGAAAGAGATCAGTAACTAAATGTCAAGCTATCCACACAATTATCCTTGGCAGCTAACCAAATTCCAAGAGTGAAAAATTAAAAACTAAAAATAAGGAGGGTACCTTGAGACCAAAAGCATTAGATGCTGCCTGGCTACCACTACTGACCCATTCTGACCAGGAACACAACGGATGGTCCCGAATAGAATGGGAGAAAAATGTAGAGCAAAACTCAGGCTCATAAAATAAATAGTATCACCCATGAGTACTGTGATCCTCTGAACAATCATCTAAATGAGACCTAATGGTCAAACCTTAGCCTAGACCGAAGGCGAGAAGGTAAGGGAGGACATGGAAGGTAGAATAATGGTAACAGAGCAACCAGACTGGAAACAATGAGAATGCTGACACACTGTGAAAAGTGTAACCAACATCACTGAATACATATAGAAATTGTTATATGAGCACTTAATTGGCTACATAAATTTTCTCCAAAATCGCAATAAAATATTTAAACAAAATAAAAGCAAGAAGGGAACAACTCAACAGGACTCTTTTCAGTACCAACGGATAATACTTGGAGGTACCTAGTGCTCTTCACTTTGAACACTTTATTACCATTATCAGACCTTCATGTCTTTCAGTGACCAGTAAACCCATTCTAGCAACGAATAAACAGAAGCAGGAAGAATGCAGGGACAAGACTGGAAGGGATATAGAGGTGAGTCACCGAGCTGGGAAGTCAGCGGCAAGAGACGACCTCCTGGCCCGTAAGTTCCAAGTCCCCATGGTCTCTAAATGCAGCCAAGTCCCTGTGTGAGAAGGTGCATGGGTGAGGAGGCTGTCTCCGGCCTCTGCAGGCAGCCCTCCTGGAGGCAGCTTGGAGAAGTTGGTTCCCGACGTCCAAGCGCCTGGAAGACCGGATGGTGAGTGAGAGGAGTGTTCATGGCCCAAGACAGCCCAATGGTGAGAAGTATTTTCGCCAGGCCCTTTGCCTCAAAACTGCAGCCCCAAGGAACTGAAGCACTCTGGGTGGAGCTGGAGTGGGTGAGGGCGAGGAGCTTCCTGAAGACACAGAATCCACAAACTTCACAGCAGTTGGCTGGATTTGGTCACAAGCATATTTTATACAACCAACTTCTCTAGAAGTCTGGTTGCCAAAAACACCCCTGTGGGAAGCATGAAAGGGCACAAGCTTGCATTCCAAGGAGTGAGAGAACATGTACGTGCCTTGTGGGGGTCAGAGGCAAGAATGTTCGGTGGCAGGTGTCTCTGTGTCTCTCCAGCCCAGCACGGCCAATCTCAAGCAGGGGTCCAGATAGGTGTTACTTTGGTTTTTCAGGGTTTTCTTTTTTGGTTTTCGTACTGGAGTCGGGTTCCGGAGGATGCTGGTGGGTGGGTGGATCCTGCAGTTCTGAGCAGATGTTAACGCTCTGGGGCTCACACCAAGCCGGCATCTTTGGCCATGCTGTAGAACAGGCCTCTCTGCTGCAGGAGGTCGGAGGGGGAGCCACACTCTCGGATCTCCCCTTTATCCAGGACAATCACCCTGAAGGAGGAGGGGTACACAGCTATGAGAAGTAGACAAAGAGTTGGCACCTTGATCCCAAAAGCCCAGCTGGAAAGTCACTGTTGAGGTCAGGCTCCCAGTATCTTCTGCCAGGACTAATGCAGTAGCTTTCCACCTGGCAGCCCTGCCTCAACCCCTATTCCTAGTCAGTGCCAAAGTCCTTTGACTCTAACCTTTAAGCATTAGCCCCACACCAATAATAGTGGCTAAAGTAATAAGGATAATGGTATCAATGTCAACTGTTCACATTTATTTGTCCCATCACACTCAGAAGAAAATCTAAAGCCTCACATAGTCTGTAACTAAGAAAACCTGTACATCAATCGATTCTGACTCAAACCCCATGTGTATCAGAGCAGAAACTGAGCTCCACAGGGTTTTTTAAGGCTGTGGCCTTTGGAAACAGATCATCAGGCTTTTCTTTTGAGCACCTCTGGGTGGATTTGAACCGCCAACTTTTCAGTTAGCAGCCCAACCGAACTGATTAGGAGTAGCTCTCAACAGCTCGCACCATGAGGGGACGTCACAGTGCCAGCAAACACTTGCAGAAGGCTGGAGAGTAAAAGTTTCAGGCTCAGCAGGCCACATGGTCCCTGTTACAAATAGAAGTAATGTCTGATTTATGACAGTGTTCTATTCTGACAACTCTCATCAGTTCTGACATTACTCAATTGTCTCCTTTTTTAAAGCTTTCATTATTATTGCCTTTTATTATCAGTATCTTTATAATTTGATCTTTACTTGTCCTCAGTGGTTGGAAACATTGCATATAAGCTTGGAGATATGATGACATCAGCAAATTACACAAATCACAACATTGTATGTAGTGCATGTTACTAATGATAAGAAGTACAAAAAAGGATGGTCAAAAGTATGGTTCATTGTAACTCAATTATGTCACATGCCAGGGACTACCTGTACTCAATTCTGCTGCTGTAGTTTTAGGGCAAAAGCAGTCACAGAAAATATGTCAATCAACAGGCATGGCTGTTTTACATAAACAGGCTGTGACAGTGTGGCCAATGGGCTGGAGTTTGCTAACCCCTGGCATACTTGCTCCTATAGGATCCAGCCCTGTCCATTTTTGACCTCACTTGCGGCTACTCTCCCGAGGCTCAAACTTGCCAGCAATACATAAGAGGTGCTGACAGCCAGTCTCCATCAAATAGCCTTAAAACCAAAAACCTAACCCATTGCTGTCAAGTCAATTCCAACTACAGCAACAGAGTTGAATTGTCCTGTGGTTCAAACCCACCAGCCACTCCACAGAAGCAAGACTAGACAATCTATTTCCGTAAAGATTTACCACCTCGGAAACCCAATGGGTGTCACTATGAGTCAGAATCGACTCCACAGCAGTGGGTTTATAGGATTTCCAAGGCTATAATCTTCACCAAAGCAGACTGCCACATCTTCTGCCACAGAGCAGCTGATAGGTTCAAATCGCTGACCTTCTGATCAGCAGCCAAGCATTTAACCACTGCACCATGAAGGTTTCTTCCCTTGGTACTAGGACCATGTTAAGATTTTGTGGACCATAGGTACATTTGTCTTCGTGGGCAATAATGCCTTTACATGACATTGATTCATGTAATTCATATATTCACTTTTTCCTCTGACTTTAAAAGGAATTAGGACATTTCTGTGAACCCCTAAAAGTATCGGGGTCCATGGCCTGGTGCCTCTGTGCCAGCCCTGCCTGGTCCTCATGCTCTGGTCACTTTGTTCTCTACCTTCCCAGCACTTAGCTCTCCCTGAAAGCCATCTTGCTTTCACTTGCTGCTATGTTTACAGTCTGTCTCCCACCAACTAAGCTATATGGTCCCTTAGGTGGGCACCTTGAGTCCCAGGGCCCACTCAGTGCTGGGAGCACAGCAAGCAGCCACCACATATGTGCTGACTGAATGGCTGGCCGATGTCAACAAGACCTGGTGCTGCCTGGTATAGGGAGAGTTTTCACCAACAGGGCTGTAACAGGCATAAGGACAGTGTTGAATGAGTGAGTGAGCGAGTGAGCTGGTGAATGGGGCAAACCCCCCACTGCCCCACTGTGTGCCAGGGGCATCACCTTGTGTAGTCCATGATGGTGTTGAGCCGGTGAGCAATGGTGAGGACAGTGCAGTCGTCAAACTGGGTCCGGATGGTGGACTGTATAAGGTTGTCCGTTTCCAGGTCCACAGCTGCCGTGGCCTCATCCAACACCAGGATCTTCGTCTTCCTCAGCAGAGCCCGGGCCAGGCACACAAGCTGGCGCTGTCCGACACTTGACCAGGAGAAAAGACCAGGGGACAGAGTGTCAAACCACCCCAACCAGAGCCCAGGCCTGAGCTGGGAAAAGGGAGAAGAGACAATGCACTGCTCAAGGCAAAAGAGCACTTCCACTTCTCACATCCATGCCCATGGCACACATCACTAATCAATCTGATGCCCTTTCCTATGGAGGTAGAAGCAGGCTCAGAATCATTCTCAATACAGGGCTCAGAGGTGATACACAGAGTATTTGACCAGTTCAGCACAGGAAGACCAAAGAAGAGTTGATGCTTTTGAGTTGTGGTGTTGGCAAAGAATACGGAAAGTACCATGGGCTGCCAGAAGAACTAACAAATCAGCTGTAGCTGGAATGCTCCTTGGAAGCGAGAATGGCCAGACTTCTTCTCACCTACTTTGGTCATGTTGTCAGAAAGGACCATTCCCTGGAGAAGGATATCATGCTTGGTAAAGTAGAGGGTCAACGAGAAAGGGGAAGGCCCTCAGTGAGATGGATTGACACAGTGGCTACAACGATGGGCAAGGATTACAGCAAAGATTGTGTGGCTGGCACAGGACCGGGCAGTGTTTTGTTCTGTTGTATATAGGGTCACTATGAGTTGGAGCTGACTCAATAGCACCTGACAAAAAGAGTGTAACAGGTAGTAAAAATAACCCCTGTATCCATGCCCTCTGTAAAGTCCTCACAGTCTGACTGTATATGCCTTGGGCTGGCCCATAAGATGGTGGCAGAGTGTAAGGCTGGCACAGGCTTGAGATGGGACTGCACACTAGCCTTGCTCACTCTCGCACCTCTGCCGTCACCATAACCACACGCTGGCATGGACTGGGGGATCAGATTTGTGGAGCAGCTGAGGCCAACTAGATCACCTGACAATCAGCTGACCCCAGACACAGGAGTGCGTCCGGCACAGACTAGCAGAGCCTTGGCTAACTGTGGTAGTGGGTCAGTGAGCACTGCTACTGCTGAACACCGCTGGGGTTGGTGGCTGGTTGTTAATGCAGCAGCATCCCCGTGGTGCGTAACTGAAACAGGCATGGACCAGTATTGCTGCAGCAGGACTCTGGAGGTTTCCTGCAGAGTCAGGCACTGACATGCTGGTTGGTGGATCATGGGCAGATCCTGGGGACCTGGGAGAAATCAGCTGGGGCAGTGGGTAGGGGCTCAGAGGGGTTAGGACAGTTGCCATTTACCACTTAGTATAGAAGCCTGTCAATATTTTAACGATTCCACTGAATGGAGCTTGTGTAAGAAAGGCAATCTGTTGGTCATCCTGTTTAGACTCCATAGTAGAAAGAGCCCATTTTACAGATAAGGGAACTGAGGCCCCAAGAGGTTAAGGGACACACTTCAGAACAGACAGCTAATCTGTGGCAGAGTTGGGACCCAAACCCAGTTGAGACACAGATCCATGAGGTCAACTCTCCTGAGGTGGGGCCAACGGGCCCTCACCCCGGCACTGCCCCACTCACCCGTGCCTACCTTAGGTTCTCCCCGCCTTCTGCACACTCATGGTTCAGCTTATCTGGAAGGGAGGACACGAAGCTTTTCAGGTGAGCCAGCTCCAGTGACATCCAGACCTCTTCGTCTGTGTACTGGTTGAATGGGTCCAGGTTCATGCGGAGGGAGCCCGAAAACAAAATGGGATCCTGTTTGGAGAGCAGACAGAAAACAGGATTTGAAGCACATGTTACACTAGACATGAGTGCGACAAGGAGACAGGATGATAAAGTTTTCCCTAGAACCGTAAAGACGGGGTTTCAGGATTGCCGAGAATTATTTCTTGTTAGCTGCTGTTGAGTCAGTTTTGACTCACAGCAACCCTATGTACAAAACAGCAAAACACTGCCCAGGCCTGCACCATCCTCACAACTGTTGCCATGCTTGAGCCCACTGTCACAGCCACCGTGTCAATCCATCTCACTGAGGTTCTTTTTCATTGACGCTCTACTTTATCCAGCATGATATCCTTCTCTAGTGACTGGTCCCTTCTGACAATATGACCACAGACGTAAGACAAAGTCTGGCCATTCTCGCTTCTAAGGAGGATGTTAATGAAAAAAGTGTGTGCAAAACCCTGCGTTAAGCAGAATGAAACAGATTTCTTGTTTGCAGAACTTCTCAGATCCTTCAATATGCAGAGGTGATAAGAATCTTTGAGATGAGAGACACAGCAAGGGAGTCCTCTGAGCCCAAGCCCCTACTCTCACGTCGTCTCCAATAAAGAATCTTAGAAGGAACTTTAGGAATATTCTATTATTAGATTATAAGAAAATAACACTAAGAGGTAACATATGAGAGAATCATCACCTACAAGTCACTTCATAAGTCTTATTACTTATTTATTAACTTCTATTGTGATTTGGGTGAAATTTTATAAAGTAGATTCATTTTACATTCAACAGTTCATACACATTTTGTTTCATGATACTGGTTACATTGTTGTTGTTATTGTTAAGTGCCGTCGAGTCATTTCCGACTCATAGCGACCCCATGCACAGCATAACGAAACACTGCCCAATCCCGCGTCAGCCCCACTATCCCTGCTATACTTGAGCCCATCATTGCAGCCACCGTGTCAATTCATCTCGTTGAAGGCCTCCCCCTCTTTCGTCGACCCTCCACCCTACCAAGCATGACATCCTTCTCCAGGGAATGGTCCCTTCTTACAACATGACCAAAATAGGTGAGACGAAGTCTGGCCATTCTTGCTTCCAAGGAGCATTCTGGCTGCACTTCCTCCAGGACAGATCTGTTAGTTCTTTTAGCAGTCCACGGTACTTTCAGCATTCTCCGCCAGCACCACAACTCAAAAGCATCAACTCTTCTTCGGTCTTCCTTATTCATTGTCCAGCTCTCACATGCATACGAGGCGACTGGAAATATCATGGCTTGTGTCAGGTGCACCATAGTCCTCAAGGAGATATCCTTGCTCCTCAGCACTTGAAACAGTTCCTTCGCAGTTGACATTCCCAATGCTACACGTCGTCTAATGTCCTGACTGCTGCTTCCATTGGCATCGATTGTAGAACCAAGCAACGTGAATTCTTTGACAACCTCAATCTTCTCTCCATTTATTGTGATGCTGCTCATTGGTCCAGTTGTGAGGATTTTTGTTTTCTTTATATTGAGACGTAATCCATACTGCAGACTGTATTCTTCAACCTTCATCAGTAGGTGCCTTAAGTCATCCTCACTTTCAGCAAGCAAAGCTGTATCGTCTGCATATCTCAGGTTGTTAATGATTCTTTCTCCAATCCTGATACCACGTTTTTCTTCATATAGTCCAGCTTCTCGGATTGCTCAGCATATAGATTGAATAAGTGTGGAGAAAGAATACAACGCTGACGCACTCCCTTCTTGATTTTAAACCATGTAGTGTCCCCTTGTTCTGTTCGAACGACAGCCTCCTCGTCAAGGAGGAGCAGTCAGCCCCAGGGACAACTCAGGGACACCCAAAGCAACAGGCCAGAAAAGCAGGAGAAAGGGGATTAAAAGCCAGGAAGCCAGACAGAGGTACAGTCAGCCACAGGGACCCAGGTGGGGGTGATACGAGAGGTCTCCAACAGCAAGACAAACTTGTCTGTCGGTTTGTCCTACGGTGGTGACATGTAGACGTGAGTTTTGAGGCTGACCCTCTGGTGTTTAAAACCCAGCGAGATGCACATGGTGCACAGGTAACAGCCCAGCTTATAGACTGAGACAGACTAGGAAGAAGGAAGAGGCCATCCACTTCTCTTCTGCTTACATTACCCACAGTGTAATAGTTCTCTTCCCACTTCCTCCCTGCAGTCACCCTCTCCCTGCTTCCTTCTTGCCCACACATTCCTGCCTCCCTGCTTTTCTCCCTATGCAAATGCTGTCCTTTGATACCTCCTGGTTGATCTAAGGAGTGTATCTCCCTGGTGTAAGTGTTCATCTCATAGGCCTAATGTTCAGATGAGAGTTAAGTCACACGATTGAGTTTAATTCGAGGCCTGAAGGGTGACTTGGGGTCATGATTTGGGGGTTTCACCAGTCTTTACTGATCAGTAAGTCTTTTTTTTAAGGTTTTGAGTTATTTATACACAATGAAATACACAGAACTAAAGTGACATGGGTCAATGTCTTTTTTTTTTTCCTTGCAGTGTTCCTCCCCTCCCCTCCTGTCCCTGGTAACCAATAAAAAGTTTCCTTCCATATATAAACCTTTCCTTAACTTTTTAAAATAATGAACTAATACTTTATTTGTCCTTCTGTAATTGACTTACTTCAGTCAGCATAGTATCTTCCAAGTTCATCCATGTTATATGGTGTATAGATTCTACATTATTCTTTAGTGTTGCATAGTATCCTACTGTGTGTATGTACCATGGTTTGGTTATCCATTCTTCTGTTGATAGGCACCTAGGTTGTTTCCATCTTTTGGCTATTGTAAACAGTGCTGCTATGAACATGAGTGTGCCTATGTCTGTTCTTGTCATGGCTCTCACTTCTTTAGGATATATACCTCATAATGGGATTGCTGGGTCAAATGGTATTTCTAATTTCAGCTTTTTAGGCATCACCATACTGCTTTCCACAGGAGCTCTGGTAGCATAGTGCCTAAGGCACTTGACTGCTAACCAGAAGGCTGGCGGTTCAAACCCACCAGCCACTCCTCGGAAGGAAGGTTGGGCAATCCTACTTCCGTAGTGATACTGCCTCGGAAACCCAAGGAAGGGTCGCTATGAGTCGGGGCCGACTTGACGGCAAATAACAACAACAACAACATACTGCTTTCCACAGTGGTTGTATCATTTGAAAGTCCCACCAGCAGTGTATGAAGAGTCCTAATCTCTCCACATCCTTGCCAGCATTTGTTATTTCTGTCTTGTTGAACTTGCTACTAATGTTGGGGTGAGATGGTATCTCACTGTTGTTTTCATTTGTGTCTCTCCCATGGCTAATGATTCTGAGCATTTCTTCATGTATTTGCTGGCCGCCTGAATATCCTCTTTGAATAAGTTTCTGTTCATATTTTCTGCACATTTTTTAATTGGAGTGTTTATCTTTTTGATATTGAGGTGTTGGGGGTTTTCTATAAATTTTAGAGATAAGTCCTTCGTCCAATATGTTGTTGCCGAATATTTTTTCCCATTCCGTAGTTTCTCTTTTGACTCCTTGGGAAAAGTCTTTCGCTGCACATAAGTACTTAATCTTTGTTGTTGTTATTTGCCATCGAGTCAGACCCAACTCACAGCGACCCCTCTTTGGGTTTCTGAGGCAGTATCACTACGAAGTAGATTGCCCAACTTTCCTTCCAAGGAGTGGCTGGTGGGTATGAATCGCCAGCCTTCTGGTTAGCAGTCAAGTGCCTTAGGCACTACGCCACCAGAGCTCCTTCCACACAGGAGACTTGAGTTCAATTCCTGACCAATGCACCTCAAGCTCAGCCACCACTCATCCATCAGTGGAGGCTTGCATGTTGTTCTCATGCTGAACAGGTTTCAGCAGACAGAGAAAACCCTGTGGGTCCCAACAATCTGGTCTGTAGCTGATCATGGGGATGGTGCAGGACCCAGTGACATTTCGATCTGTTGTGCATGTGTCAGGGCCAACACAGTGGCGGCTAACAACAACAGCTATTTCACTATCAGAGTCCCAATCATCTAGTTTATCTTCTGCTGTTTGTGCATCTTGGGTTATGCTTGATAGTCTATTTATGCCGTATTTTAGGACCCTTAAGTTTGCCCCTTTTTTTTTTTTTTTTTTTAATGAACTTTATAGTTTTAGGTTTCACATTTACGTCTTTGATCCATCTGGAGTTAGTTAGTTTTTGTGTGTGGTGTGAGGTATGGATCTTGTTTCATTTTTCTGCAAATGGATATACAGTTTTGCCAGTACCATTTGTTAGAGAGACCATCTTGTTTCCATTTAATGGATTTCAGCCCTTTGTAAAAAATCAGTTGACCAAAGGTCGATGGATCTATTTCTGGGTTCTCAATTCTGTTCCACAGGTCTATGTGTCTGTCATTGTACTAGTACCAGGTTGTTTTTGACTACTGTGGCTGTATAGTAGGTTTTGAGATCTGGGAATTTGAGATCTCCTACTTTGTTCTTCTTCTTTGATAGTGCTTTCCTTATTCGAGGTCTTTTTCCTTTCCATATAAAAATAGGGATTGGTTTTCCACATTGAAAGATTGGGCAATCTACTTCCGTAGTGATACTGCTTCAGAAACCCAAGGAGGGGTCGCTATGAGTCGGATCCGACTTGATCGCAGTGAGTTTGGCTTTTTTTTTTTTTTTTTTTTAAAGAATGCTGATGGGATCTGGATTGAGATTGAACTGAATGTATAGATTGCTTTGTGTAGTACTGACATTTTCACAATGTTCAATCTTCCTATCCATGAGCAAGATATGTTCTTCCATTTATGTAGATCTGTTATGGTTTCTTGGAGTATGATTTGTAGTTTTCTTTGTACAGGTCTTTTGTGTCCCTAGTGAGATTTATTCCCAAGTATGGTGGTGTAGTACCTGAGGCATTTGATTGTTAACCAGAAGGCTGGCGGTTCAAACCTACCAGCTGCTCCTCAGAAGAAAGGTCAGGCAATCTACTTCCATAGTTATACCACATCAGAAACCCAAGGAGGGGTCACTATGAGTCGGATCTAACTTGATGGCAGTGAGT